CCTAATGCGCCCTCTCCTCTACCCTATTAGCTCCCATTTTAGCTCTTTACTACTCCAGCTGTGTTTATTAAACCTTACAGAGCGGTCAAAGGTATTTATCAGCTCCCTGAACCACTGTAAAGATCCAGGCATGTGACACACACACACACACACCAAGCAAGGGTACAGCGCCCTCTACAACACAGCGAAGTGCCTTCACAAGTTTCAATGCCAAAATGCAAAAGACAGCTCTCCATTATTGATGAAATCAAATGGTATACAAGGTAGCTTTTCCCAACTGTAAAACAAGAGCCCAAACTACGCGCATAAAATCCTCCTCTGACATGATATCTGTTGTATAAGTGTGATCAGTTAAACATATTTAGCCTATGTTGTGCGTGGTTAGTTCAGTAGCTTTTGAATTTCTTAATTGGAGCTGCAACAATTAGTCACAATTTTCATAATCAAATTTCTTTGGTTTAGGCAAGTTCTCTAGTCCAGTTGCTCCCATATATAGATATGCTGGTTCCCAGGATCTTCAACAGTTATAAACTGAATACCTTTGGTTTTAGATGGTTGGTCTGACCAAACAAGATATTTGAAGAAGTCACCATGTCTATTCATTTGCCAGAGATATAGGTCAGTGAAGAAATTATACGTTTTTACTTATTGTGTTCTCTTATTAATGTTCCTACTTTAACATCTTCCTACTTTTTAATATATTATATGTAAGTCTACTCCTTTTACATTTATCTGCACTGTACGTTTTCTGTTGTAATACCATGCATTCCCTGTTTCAGGACAAATAAAGGATTTCTTATTCTGAAATGGGGAAGAGGGAGAGAGGGATATGACACGCAAAACAGGTCCTTATGCTAGAATTGAACCTCTGATGTTGGAGTTACATGGCCTCTACTCTAACCACTTGGCTAACAAGTGTTCCAGAAAATGTTCTCTTTCTCACATTTTATATATTAAGTGGGTATTCCTTTTTCAATATAATTGACACAATCTTTAGTTAGGGCCTTTTTAGCAAGTAATATCAGCTCTGCTTTTTCCCCCTTATTTCCAAATAAGTAGAAGACTTGGAGTTGTTAAGTTCACATGAACTTCAAATCTCTGATCCGTTTTTTTTAACTAGCAAAGAGCCATGTAAAAACATAACGTTTGTCAAGCTAAAACACTCCCATTAAAAGAAAATATCTGATCTCCACAGCCTTTTATCCAGCATCCACCATGTCTAACACCTTGTCAAAAGGACTAAGAAAGATAGTGAGGCCCTTTTGCAGCGCTTATGCTGTCTGTTCTAAATGTAGACGTTCATGTCTAGTGTACTGTACCAAGTCCTGAAGCCTGCCCCTGCCATCACCTCCAAGGCCAAAAACATGTGATGAATGGCCCTGCGCTCTCATCAATCATCTGTGATTGGCCCTGATCTGCGCTCTGATTGGCTAATTAGCCTCATCTGTAACCATTACTGCACAGAGAGGCAGCTGCAGCAGTAAAGAGGAAAAAAAAGGGGATAAGAAAAATAAAGGGGGTGAAAAATTACACCATCAGGGCTGTCCTGTCACCTCGCTGCCTTCAGACAATGCCAGGAATCAGACAGCTACCGCCACACACACACCTGAAGACTGCAAGGAGACACCTACCAATGCCCAGAATTTCACAGGTAATTATATTTTGAAAATAAATATGAGAACAAGACGAGAGCGAGTTTTCAGGACTGTGTGTCAGCGGGTCAGCCACATCTCATCTGGCAACAGTTTCTGCCCCTTCCAGCAAGCGAGAACAGCAACACCAATTCCAGTCAGGGGAAAAATAAGAGCCGGTTATTAGATGTCAGAGGGAAATATCTGGTAACTGGGTGGTAAATGCTCACCCAGCGAGGGCCGGACGACAAGGAGCGAAAGTTTGGTGGAGCACTGGTCGAGAGACGCAGCTTTTCAGGAGGATGAAACATCAAAGAGTAAAAGGTTAAGTGGTGGGAGGAACATGGAGAATTATAAAAAAGGCGGGAGAGGAAACAGACAAATAGAGAGAAAGTGAGGCAGGATGGAGCCTGGGGGAAGAGAGAGGGCCAAAAACACCAGGCCGACGTCTGCTCCTGCTCCCTCCCAGCACAGGAAATGGCTCTCTGCAGACATAGGAGGAGGAGGTGGTGTGTGGGAAGGGGGGTCGAAATAGCTGTGCCCACCATTGGCCAACTCAGGGCGAGGGCACAGGCTAAGAGGATGGAGGAGGGAGGACTACTCCTACATCTCTATCTTCTCTGGTAGTCTCTAGCGAGTGATTGAGGGATTCTCCTTGACATGGCTTGATTCAGAAATATTTTCTGTATCACCAAATCCCAGAAAACCACAGTCAAAAGGGAAAAAAGGGACAGCCAAATGTCTCAAACCCCATCACCAAACTGGAAAAGTCCAGAGCTTAACCCCTTTTAAGGAAATTGAGATCAGGGGGATTTAAATTAATTTATCTGGCGATTTTATACCTAAGCTCCCGGCATCTATTTCATAATAACATAATAATAGAAGGACTCCATTGAGAGTAGCCGGGCAGCTTCAGGTCTCAGACACCCGATACCCGGCAGAGACGATGCCCAGCCAGCCGCACGCCTTCAGACGTCGTTAGAGCAGACACACAGCACGCCCCTCCTGCCACCCACAATCCATCCACAGTCAATTACAAGCAATTTCCCTGTCCTGGGTGGGGTGAGGAGAGGGAGCGGGAGAGAGGCAGGCAGGGAGGAAAAGCAGTTGTCAGCCTAAAGCAGACACACATGGTTCTGTTTACAAATTGCAAGTTGTTTGGTTTCGCCATGGTAACACAGTGCTGACGCTGGCCGGACGGATATTTGGAAGTGAGACGGAGGGAGAGGGTGGTGGTGACAGTCGTGGCCTTTGATGGTCTGCAGGGTGGGGTCCACTGTCAGCGAGAGGGATGGTTCATTTATGCTTAATGTACAAACTTCCCACAAACACGCGTCTGTTTCCCTCCTGCCTTCATCTTCTCCCCCTTCTTCCAAATCAGTTCCCCTCAGCACCTAGGGCTTCTGTTTGGCTTCCCCGAAATCCGCTCTTACGAAACTGGAGACGCACAGCGAGGAGGTGCCTGATTCACCAGAACTGGAATGTCTGCCATTCCCACAGGAAACCTGGGGCGTCTCAAGCCAGGGTGCCCAGGACAGGCGGGTGCACACACACACACATAAATACGGAAAACAGGCAAACAGGGTTGCTCACACAACATGTAAGTACACAATTGGTCAGTCAGACAAATATAACCGGATGCTGGATGCTGGATGCTGAATGTGACCAAACGACCAGACTTACAAACATAGTAGCCAAGTGGGCAGAGGCACTGGAAGTTTTTATTACTAACTGTAAATATACAGTTTGAATGTTGATTTTATGACAACCTCAATATTTCTCAAAGCAAACATCATTACTATTTTACGCTTACTATTAGCCTACTGGCAGGTATGGAGGAGAGATAAAAACTAGAGGGAAAGTAAAGGCAGCAGTACGGTATATATTAATAGTTTCAGTTTCATTCATTCTCGTGATTTGTTTGTAGCCTTTCTTTTTAATCAAAGAAAAAACTTGGTTGCTACAGGGTTTCAAATTATTTGCACTCATTGTAGGGTATTCCCTAATCCGAAGGCTGGAAAAGCACTATACAAAGTCAATTTGCAACTTACCACTCAGAGCCAATACTGTACAGGCATTTACTGTAGCAACGGATCACCATGTGGGACAGCTCAGACTCTCACAACTTAAAACTCTAGGTCTCTTTTTCTTTCAGTTTTCCCTTGTAAAATCATTTTTGTACGTTCAATAAGTAAAATCCTACAGACACATTATCATCTCAGGTGGGTGAGCCATGCTTTTACTGGGAATTTGAATCTCTTTATGACAACCTTTCATTGATGTTTCACTTAACGGTTAGTCAACTTAGAAGTGGTGGCCTGTTTGGTTGACCTTCATATATTACGACATATAGTGCATCATCCTTTATTTTGTCCATGTGTTGGACTGTAAAATATTATTCCACAAAGCGATTATTTTTCAAAAGCAACAGACTTATTGTGGTGCCATTTTAGTGAATACAATTCAAGTCCGACTTCCAACCAAGAGGCAAATATTATTCATTGTGGTTATGATCGGATATGATTGATCAGAGGTCTTCCCGTATCAGGCAGTGACTGCTTCGCTGACGCCTCTGTGACCCGCCTTCACGGCGTGATCCACCACCGCCCTGCACTGACGCAGAGACCCCACACTGCGATCTGCAGTCAAACCCAAGTTCGCCGCCGTAACCTTCTCACCCCTGCTCCCATCTCAAAGAGCGCCCCCCGCCACCCCTGCCACCATCACCTCCTAATAAAAACACGGTCCACTGTGAGGGGTCTGCTGTCAGACATGGCAACCCCGTTGAGTCTTTCATCTCAACAGCCACACACACGTGCTCAAACCTTAACGTATCACACACACATAGGAATGTGCGCTTCCCTACACACATTCAGAAACACAGCTCCGTCTGCTCCTGGACGTTGCGACCCCACTGTTTCGTTTCATCTCCACACTCCATTCCCTGCTTGCTGCTGGCACCATTACGTTAACACAAACACTATATTTCTGTCATCGTCCCCAGGACGTGGCGTTCCCTTTAATATCTTTCTTTTTTCTGCGGGCGTTAGGGGAAAAAGATGATGGGGGCCTGAAGGGATCTGGGACATGGGTGAGTTGTGGGAAACCAGAGTGCAGTCCGTGGCCTCACAGCATGAAGCCCTCTCTTTTCTTCTCTCGCTCCCCCTTTCTTTCTCTATCTGTTTCTTTTTTGGCAGAGAATCATAGGAGGCTTCATGCAGATCGCATATTTCGGCCTCAAGCGATCTGGGAAAACATGCCCTGTTAATGCTATGTTCACATTTGAACCCTGTTCAACCCTGAAGCGGTGCACTCATGGTCTGTCTATTTCTTTGGGCTGGTGTGTGGTTATGATCGTGTGTGTTTTACCTCCACATAGTCTTTGGCGTGGCCCCAGTCCCTCTTGGAGTCCAGGTTGCCCAGGCAGAAACACTCCAGTTGGCCGAGGTGAATCTTTGCCACAGAACGGCTGATCTTACGCGTCACAAAGTTTGAACCTGAAACACATACATTAAAAATGCTATGTTAGCATCTTCTGAATTCAATCACAGTTTACACGGGATATAAATATTACTGAGGTTTATCTCGATCCAACACATACAAACACAGAGACAAAGAGCAGATAAGTGAAAATTAGGTCTTTGCATGGAAGATGGAGTTAGGAGATCACTACCAAACTCTTTCACCACACGCACACATACAGATGTCCAAACCGCTACTACTGCTCCAACTGCTCTTTAGCCAGAGTCAAATCAATTCTTTACCACCTCACATTACAGCCACTAGATCCTTTTAGATTCCTTCTCTCTCATTTTCCTCTGTAATTCACTGTTTCAGTGTCAAATCTGGGCTGGATGCCAAGATAAACCTCAGAGCATCAGTCGGTCTGCACCAAAAAAAGCAACATGGAAGTGCCAAAGAAAAATGACAACCAAACAGGACCACCCTGGCTCAGCCGGAGCAGGGTCCAGTCCAGAATCACTGAATTGACACACTTCATCTGCCAGATCGCCTAGCGGTGTTCCACGTGGCGATATTATATGTTGGAAAACACATGAGCCTGTAATGAATATTTCTGTGCCACTAGAAGGTTTCGAGAAGCTTTTGGGTGTTTTGGCGGGACACTTAGGGCCGGTGTTATGTTCTCTTTTCCTGCAACAGGCCTGCGAATAAATGGATCAGTTCTCCAAACCAAGCACATATTAAGCTGGTGGAAATCAACACTAAATATCAGGGTGTCATGTCTAATACTGCCACTGTCTTAGTTGAAACCGCTTATTATGGCTTGAGGGGCTTATCCCTGGCTAGGGTCTTCTGCCTTGTGTTCAAAATGGCAGATATGTGGGAATATGTCATTTCAAAGGAAAGCTTGAAGCTTTCATCAAAGAGTTGGCTATTTTTAGCCCAAACAACATCTCTGCTGTATATAAATCTCCCACAACCTTGCGTGAACCTTTTTTTCGAGACTTCTTAGGAGCTCATACATGTTTTTTTCAAACTCATCGTGCCTGAGATGAATGTTGCCTTTTAGCTCTGCGCCAATCCAGTCCATAATACCCCGGCTCTGTCTTGACACTGTATCACTGTTGCCCTGACATGGAGCAGAGCCTCCATTTAGACACAGGAAAATCCCATGAACCCAATCATGCGAATGCACCAAATTTGTAGTAATTATTTCATAGGAAAGCAACAGCCCTGGGCAGACTGAGCTAAAACAGACCAGAGAAGGTTAGACACGCTTACTTGAGAAAACACAGCATGTTGTGTGTTGGTAGCAGGGCACATGGCCCTCTTGTCAACGCTGCTTTGTGGCCATGTTGAGTTGGAGTTAATAAAGTGTAAATAAGGCTCTAGGTAGATAGTCTTTAGACTTTTTCTGGATTCAAAATTAAGTCCAATCTCCAAATCGTTCTATTATTCAGAAAACAGTGAATTAGAACTGTTGACACCTTAATTAGGAAATAGCATGTGTTTATGAAGCGTAGATGAATTTTGGATGGAAACCCCCTCCGATGTCAGACTTGTCCTGTATTTGCATGATTGTCTCATCTGGCCCTCGGGCCCTTTCTCTAACCTGGCAGGTCATTTGTTCTGGCAGGCACCATTGCTCTTGCTAACTACAGTCAAATGTTAAGCAACAATTATTCATCTGCCACTGACACATCCGTGATTGTCAGCCTTTCACTCAGGCAGCAATACACCATGCCATGCAACTGCACACACATGAACTAACATCATTCGCACTTCATATAATGGATGCTCAAACAATTAAGCAATTGGTCAATGGACAGACACTTAATCGACAAATATTTTAAAAGGGGAACTCCACAGATTTTACACATTAACATCAGTTAACTAGTCATGTAGAATGAATACTATACTGAGCCAAAAAGTTGAATAATGTTTTCTGCGAAACAACTTTCTCAAGAAAACCACCAGGGTTATTTTCACTTGGACTTTTTAATGAGAGTCTGCGTTACAATCTTAGGGATAGCAGTTCTAACAAGGGGATTTCAACCATGTTAGGGAAGTCCAATGATAAGATGATATGTTGCAGTATGGGAGTTGAAAAAAAAGTATTTTTAGGACTTAAAGTCTCAGTTTGCTCAGCTTCCGCTTGCTGGAATGCTTTTTAAATAACTAATTATCTCTTTAAAAAGGCAAAGATTTCAACATGTGATGTGTTATCCTCTTAAATGTCAGTGCTTATTACTATACAAATTGTAACATGAGTAAGTTCTATTGAACGCATTCTTTTTGCAATAAGCAATGTTTGTTCTCTTTTGTGTTCCATACGATTTGATTTCTGTCATTGTAAATACATTATTTGGGATTTTTGGATTGTTAGTCTCAAAGCACGTTATTTCATACTGACACATTTGGTTTGAAAATTTTTGATACAGTTCATTTTTAATATCGTTTTTTACATTGTTGGCTTTAAAGATTCAGCATAAATAATCAGAGATTGAACAATTATCCAATTGTCATTAATTGCGGCTCTGTAAAATATATTCTTTATTAGGACCCAGTAGGGCACTTAAATGTAACAAGAGCCCAGATCGGTAACTACAGTAAATTGCAAGGCAGGGGTTTGATTTGATCCAACATCCAAGGGAAACTCAAGTTTGCAGGTTAAACACAGGTTGTCAAAACTGTGCAGATCCATGTTGGCCCTTAAAAAGGTGGCAGAGGGATACAGTGGAGTACAGCACACCCAATCAGTAATAAAGTCCATTATTTCCCCCCAAGCACACCTGTAGTTTCCTTGTAAAGCTCACACCTCTGTTTTGAGTGGCTCTGCTCCCTGCCTGCCCTAATTGGTGCGGTGTGGACCAGAGCGTGGGCCTAATGGACCGGCCTGCCTGGCTGTGGACAAAGCCTGCTCTGTTACTGGCCCGGGTGTTAATGTGTTTCCTTTACTGGCAGCGGCACCGCAGGACAGCCAGGAGGAGGGGTTGGAGGCAGGCTGACAGGAGGTTTCGAGCCCAAACGGGGCAGCGGTGGCCGTTTAACCTTGCCCATACCCCGGCGGAAAGTCTAATAAAACCATGGGCCGTGAAAACTGAGCAGACAGCAAAACCCATGCCAGAAATGGACACTCAATCTATTTTTCTCCCCCTCTTTCTCTTTCTCACTTAACCGTTTCATTTCGTTCTTTTTTTTTTTACGTCATTTGTTTTTTCATTTCTTGGCCAGAGGAGCGACAGGAAAAGCGTAACACACTGGCTTCTTTGGCACAGCTGGACTAAGGTTTGGGGGGGTAAAGAGAGAAGGGGGAGGGTGAAAGAGGGGAAATTTGCGGAGATGTATCCCATCCAGAGCCAGGCCATGTGGGCCCAGACAGGATGGGGACTGGAGCTGTCAGCTGGGGGCTCGGGTCTGGAGGAGTCACGGTGGGGATTGTAGGTTTGAGGGGATTTTGGCCAGACTTGGTTACTCAATAGATTGTGTTGTTAAAACCATGCTGCTAAAGAAAGGTGACTTATGAAGTCTGCCTTCACACTGTGTGACGGCCCAGCCCTTACTGTATGAACTCAGACCTCAAGATGTCTGACTCACACTCATCTATATTACCGTCTGCAAGTGTATTTGTGTGCAATGCTAATTGAGATTCAACCGCAGTGTGATTTATTCAAATCCCTCTCCTGTTACATTTATTTTGAAGACATACTGTACTATGCAGTCATGACTCAGCAACATGGCACATCAGCTCTGGAAAAACTGAAAAATGTAGCCAAGTCAAGTCATCACTGTATTGAGTTGATTTTATATGTCACACTTACACAGCTTGAACATCTACTTCCCATAAGTTCAGTCTCCTCTTCCAACTTTAGACCTGGGGTATGTTTTTCTTTACAACCTAAATCTGCTCCGAGTTGATTTGCAGGATGCTAGTGATTTCTCCATTTTCTTAATAAAAATGTGGTATGACAGACTGCTTTAATGAGCCACATTCTAAAAATAGAGCCTTGGATCGCTTACTCTTCATAAACATAAACATTCATTACAACTTTTTCAGAGTTCAGATATTCTGTTGTGAGCTTGTCTGAACTGGCCACAAGCTGGTTCCAAAGAAATTGCCAACATTTTTATTTGATTGCCACAGTGCTGTAACAAAAACCCTTTGGTTACCTCAACACACACCTGTTTTGGAATTTAACCAGAACTGTGAATCCTATAATCCCTCTCTGTCTTTGACCAACTGCCTAGGGGAGTGAAAGGCTTTGTGGTAGATTTGTAGTGGAAAATGCAACCTTTAATTTCCATCTCCACCCCCACACTTTTCAGGGTTTGAGGTTGACGCTGTAGGCGTGTTTACATCAAAATGATTGTGACCTCATCTTATACCCATCTCCTTTATCGGTACCGATTTATTAACAAAATACCTGACTTGCAGGAGCACTGAGTGATTCTGCAGGAGGAATATTCTCCTGGACGAGGATTGGCCAAATTCCACCAAGGCCAAAGACCTGTAAGTGTCTGCCATCACCAATATTGCACAATTGGCGTTCTGATTGATTTCTGAAGCCTCGACGAAGGGAGAATATTTGCGTTACATCCAAAAGAGGTCATAAGCTCAGCTCCGCCAACACAGCGTCTATTCACACCTGACAGACTGTTGCACTCGTTCTGGGATGACTCAGCTGACAGGGAGGGTACATGGAGAAAAAATGTGATGCAAGGAGGGTAGGAATGGGGCTGGAGGATTGCGAAGACAAAGATTTTTTTTGTTGGGGTGAGATAAAACTAAATGGATAGACAGTACAGGGGTGTGCAAATCTGTGGGGAAAGAAAGGGAAGGTATGGAGATTGACAAGGGAGTAGATGATACATGTTTTTCTTGAGCTGGAGCACTGACGGTACCACCTCCGCATTGCAGAACCGAGAGCGAGACAGAAAGTTTCACCCTAATAGTAATAAAAGCAAAGATGTAATTGTGTTTCATACATTCCGGTAGATCAACTAAATGATTGTAGGGCAACATTTTGGGGTTCGATCAGCTTCTGACAAGTACTTGCAAAAGTTGAGCAAGCAAGCACTCAGTCAAGAAGATTCTTGGATACCATGGTGATCTGGGACAACAAACAGATCTGAGGGCGGCAGTGGGATGAGTGAAGATAGAAACCTAAACGACCACGGACTATGTCAGAAACCAAGGTAAGATGAGGCGGAGTGAACACCTTTTTTGGCCAAGTGACAAAAAGTGGAGGGAAGGGGTGGAGGCGATAACTCCATCGTCAGTTCTGCTCTTCACCTGGCCACAGTTCAGCTGAGGTTTAGACTGCTCTCACCCAGCCTTTTTCTCATCAACACCCAACAAACCAAAAAACTAAAAATGCCCGCTCAAAGCAGAGTTCCTTCTTACAAGATGCTTTCAAATCCCCTCGACGCCCTCTGACCGAGTCATTCCTATTTGAAGATTTCCTTCGTAAATAATCTCTCCAATAAATGGAAAACATATCCTTTACAAATCTATCATGCGATCTGACCTTTTGGGCTCAACTTCAACGAAAGCAGAAAGATGAAGCTAAGGCATGTAGCGGCTCAGCGGCTGTACGTGTGAGTATTTGAGGGGGCAGCATTGACTTTGGCAGTGCTATTCTAACTTCCCCAATGCTAACCGGTCTTCTCTCCTAACATAACAGTATATTATTCTATACTGCCAAGCGTGAACCACAGAGCTCTCAGGGTGGAGAGATGGATGGGACTTCCCCAAATAAACCATGGGATTAGCCTACAACTGGAGCTGGTCAGTAGCAGCAACAGTAGATACACAAAACATGTTACTCTGCTGATTTACTGCATTGACTTAGATCAACACACTGTTAATAAATATAAATGATACTTGGGTTTCCTAGGTGAAAATTGGATTGTTGGGGGATTTTCAGGTGCTGTATGTTTGTTGAATGTGACGACCAAATAAATATATGAACTGGTTATTTGCACAGGTTTCACTGCTGATCACTCTTGCCAAGAGACTGTGGATTACTGCACTGTCTCATATGTCAAAGCAATATGGAGTCTATTTAGCACCCATGCTATTGCTAATCCCCCTCTTCAGAGTCAGTGTGAGGGCTGTTTGTTATGGATAACAACTAGGTTAAGCAGAAAGGAGCTAGCTGCGGTGTGAATCGGCCAGCAGATGTAGGTTTCTGTTTGCTTTGCTTCACGCTGGATTTCCACCGGGATATGTTTTCATCACGACCGCCCGATTCCGATTTCCTTTCGCGTAGAACAATGGAGATTGACAGTTTATTGGTTGTACGAGAAGTGTAAGAGAAACCAGAAGTGCATTACTGCTGCGATTAAGTCATCCTAGAAAGACAGTAGGTCTGAGAGGAAACTGGTGTAAAGGTTTACTCATTCCTCTTTAAACATTCCCAGCTGCCACCAGACCGTCCTATGTGACACACCATGCCACGTTACAGTGCGCCATGGACATGATTGGCCACTGGAAGGTCACTTTGGCAGACACTTAAGAGCAGGACCCAGTGAGTTTTTTCTTAAATGGAAAACTCCCTCAATGAGGCAAACATCTATTTGTTTCCCAAACACAGTCCAACACAGCCAAGTCACCCTGGGACAATGACTTCACAGCTTTTCCTATGTGTGGGAAGTACGGATGGGAAAGTGGTTGAGTCAAGACAACTGCCACTGAAATCATGGACCTTCCCCCTATATATGACTTATTATTCAGAGGTACAAGAGATGCTCAAAAGCAATGGAAGGGGCAATACACAGATAATAATAATAAAAAAAACAATATCTCTCTTTTACAAATGCATTTACACACAGGGACAACATGACCTCTGCCTCTGCTGATCTGCAGTAAGTTTCTCAAGTGATGTCATTGTTTTTTTTTATTTTGGGGAGAAATGTAACCCAATTAGCTTTGAAATCAAAGAAGAAGTGTGAATTTAAAGATTTATTCGGGGAGTTTTTGGTTTAGTGTTATTGTGTTGGGAGGGTTTGAACTGCTGACTTCTTAAATGTGTTCTCTCACTGTTATTCAGTGATAAAAAAAATACCAGAAATACATTTAGTGTGTCCCACTATCATCGCAAAAACAAAAACTACTTGATTATATCAACAATGAAAATAACATATAACTCTATTTTACAATAGTTGTTAACTCAAAACCAATGGTACCGTCACTTAGATTAAAGGTATGTTTGGCAGTTGAACCAGTATTCTCTCTGTACAGTATGAGTACAGTAGTAATATATCTCACACTGTCTAATGTACAGCAAAACCTGACACTTACACAATGTACAGTACAAGCGTACAATTGCTCTCATCTAAAGCTCTCCTGTGGGTGACGGAGTAGATGGCCAAATGCCCCCTGAGTGCCGCAGTGTCATGGCGGACCCCGGGGGCCTGGATAAACACGGGCCAATCCAGCCAACACAAGCGCCACACTGGTTTGTGCAAGGGAGCAGTTGGACATCTGGCCACATCACAGCACAGCGTTCCTGCTTTATGAGCAGCAACAGCCGTAACTCTGAGAATAGAAGTGGCAGAAGTAAACCCAAAGGCCTGCTGCGGAGAAGCTGACTGTGGAAGAAGGAGGGCGAAGAAAGAGAGGAGTGAGCATAGACAGAATGGAAAGAGAGGAGAGTAAGAAAGGGAGATGAGAAAAGCTGCCCAAAGATTAAAAGGCTAAGGACTTGTTATCGAGCGAGCAGAGAACTGTGCCCTTATAAGGTTGTGTGTACTTGTGTTAAAAGTCAAAAGCATCTCTGATTTCACAAGGTCACTCAATCCGCCTGGTTATCTATAGAACTGCAACTAATGATTATTTTCATGATCAATAACACTAATAAGAGTATTTTTTTGATCAACTAATTTATTATTAAGTCTATAAAGTGATTGAACAAAGTGTATAATACAAAGTGACATTGTCCAAATCTTATTTTGGTTAGACCAATTGTCAAAAGACATTATCTCAAAGATAATATATTCACAAAGATGGCTAATAAGCAAATTAAATAATTTGGAACCAGACAATTTAGGTCAATTTTGCTTGATAAATGAGCAATTGACCAATCATTTTTATTGTTTGGGATTCATTTTTTGTTGACTGACAAATTGTTTCAATGCTACTTATCCATTGCGGTCTTTGGACTCTTTTCTGCATCACACATCACTCCCAGTCCGACCCAAGTACTCCTCCATTACAAGACCTCAAGGGTGACCGCGCCATCTTTGCTGAGCTGGCTGTAAACTGCACCAGTTCCCACACCTATCTATCTGAGGTAACCCATTAGGGTTTACTGGCTGACCCCCGACCTCGGCCGGGGTCGTGGCCGGGGCCTTCATTAGGGGATAAATCATAAACACCTGAGCGTCTGACCTGAGCGCAGCGCTGGGGGTTTCAGTCATGTGGTATTCATTTTGGGTCGCGGTGGCGTGTAAATCGGGTTAAACCAGCGCCTGCGACCCTCGGGCTCAGAGCACATATTAAAAATGTGACCACAACACACTCTTTATGTGTCAGAATGCGTGTGAGTGTGTGTCAAGTAATAGAGAAACCTGCTGAAGGAATATGTCTTTATATAGAGCATGTAATTTAATATTTGTACACGACCCAACAATAGTTTACCCTCTGTTTTACTGCTTATGCTAGGTTCAGCCTGTTGAGCAGGATAAGTGATGTCATATTTCACAATGTAATTTAAACTTTACAAAAATGTGTCCTGTATAATATATAGTCCTTCCTTACTGGCAATATAGTTAATCAGTAGCCCGTCTTATAAAAACCACGAAAGTTTAGGGGATTATTAACTTCTAAATTATTAACATGCATCCTGAGATTACTGTTTTCATAGAACAATGTTAAATGGTGGCACATTTTTTGGTTTCATTGATAGATCGTTTACTTTATGCTTTGTAAATGCTTAATGTGATGATGTTAAGTGACTTTTATGATTGTATATGCTTTTCTTTTCCCTAAACACAAGGTGTATATTAAGATTTTTACATATTGACAAACATTTGATCACAAATATTAAGCCTTTTTCAAACTTTATTTGTGTTGTGCTCTTGCAAGTCAAATTATTATACCCAAGCCAAATCACGTGTACACTCCCCCGCTGCCTGAAACGCCTATATTAGACTCCTTTGTTTACTTCCATAAACAAGTTACATCACTGCGCAATACTCGCGTTTCTATTGGCTACCGCTCCAACAAATTGTAAGTGGTAGGCTAAGGGACTGGACATCCCTAAGCGGTGGACCAATCACAACAGAGCTGACAAATTAACCAATCAGAGCAAACTGGTCTCTGGTTTCAGACAGAGGGTAAAAAGAGGTGCTGCAACACAGGCAGTATGAGAAAGATAAAGAGCTTTCTAAACAGTAAAGCATGTAAAAATGTCAAAGTAGAGAAACCAAATAGAAATATAAACCTGAAAATGTGCATAATAGGGCCCCTTTAAAATAAGAGTATGCGTGCTGTAAGCTCACCTCTCCTCGGGCTCTCATGGTTAAAGAGGATCCCGTTGACAGCAAACATGTTGTAGGCCTCTCTAAAGTTCACCACGATCCAATAAGCGTAGAGCTTGGCAGCACCTGAGAAGAAAGTGGAAAGAAATATGGTGACAGAAGCATATTAGTACCAGAAAAGTAAAGAGATATCACTGCACATCAAACCAACAGTCTTCTTTCAACTTCACTGACGTGGTCCTTTTTTCCCCTCAATCAAGAAACATAACTTTATTGACAATGTAAGAGAAACAGAGAGAAACAAAATATGCAGAAAGACCATTTAAGAGACTACACTACGTGTCAGAGTTGAACACAGCGGTATCGCAGATCACATTTCGACATCAGGAACGTGTACTGCAGACTCCTGCTGATTGACCGAAAGCAGGCTTGTACAAAAAGTTCTCCCCTCATCATCTTCCTCCTCCTCCCTTCTGCTGTGATGAAGGGGAATACCATGGAAAGCTAAAGGGAGGCGCCCATTGATTAAGCCGTAGGTCAGGATGTACACTGGAGGTGACGGGAGGTCACCATGGAAACTCCCGCCTGCCCCAAGTCTAATTAATAGAGGAGCAGCCCTCCGCATGATGGTATGCGCCTCCCATGTCAGTCTCACATATTGAGTGCTGACAGATGGGGAAAGTGTCAGTGAAGAGAGCATTTAGACAACAGAGAACACGAAACCTGATCGCTCTCACACGTGTACAGCCTCTGTGTGTGTGTGTGTGTGTGTGTGTGTGTGTGTGTGTGTGTGTGTGTGTGTGCGCTTAAAGTGTGTGCTGAGTGCCGTGGATATAAAGGTGTCTTTGTTAAAGTGAGAGCCACTCCAGTCTTCAGTCAAACGTTTTGGCCTCAGGGTGTGTGGAGAGCTCGAACGCTGCCTGAGCACTGAAGCAACACACACACACACACACACACACACACACACACACACACACACACACACACACACACACACTGTTCATTAGTGTTTGTGTATTACCGTAAGGTGAGCGAGGGTAGAAGGGCGTGGTTTCCGTCTGAGGGATCTCCTGAACTTTGCCGAACAGCTCGCTGGTCGAGGCCTGGTAGAATTTCACGGTGTTGGTCAGGCCGCACGTCTTCACGGCGTCCAAGAGACGAAGCGTACCTACGCCGTCCACATTAGCGGTATATTCAGCCAACTCAAAGGAGATCTATACAGGATGGAAAGGGAAAAAAAGAGAAGAAATCATTAAAAAGGGACCGCAATTCCTTTCCAATAAAACAAATTCTGTAAAGGGTTCATTCTAATTAATTACAGAAAAATTAGATGTAAGATTTTGCCTTGTGTATTTTACTATTGACTTGAGACTTATATATGTTTAACAAGTTGGTTTTGAAGTTGTCTGGAATTACATTTTTGTTTCTGGATCAACAAACTTCGAAAAAAGACTAGTCAGTTCTCTAAGGGCTGTCTGTGATGGGGGGAATGTGCGGGAGAGAAACTCCCTATGGAGGGATTTGGGGGATTTTAGCCTTTGATGACCATTGACATGCACACAACCTATATAACACAATACAGGGAAGGAAAAAAACCCTAACGGCATAATAGGGCCATAGCAATATGATCAACTTGTAAATAATGAAGGGAGTTGCTAAAGTACGCCTCAAAAAAACAAAACAATGCAAAGTAAATTCCACAAATGTTACAAGGTCACACAGTTGGCACAATGTCACCAATACTACCATAAAATAAGGCAGGGGGGGTGACAAAAAAGCATAACGTAATTGGAGAATTTGTTGATTCTGGATTTCATCAGAGCTGATCAGAAAGCTCATACCTCAAACCAAATACTCCAACTCCCAGAATGCCTGTATCCACTGCTGAAGGCCAAGAGGAGGGGGAATTTAAACACTTGGGGGGAAATTAAGTTTAAATTAGAAATGTCTGTGCGCGTGCATGACTGTGTGATGCCGTGCACTTGAACTGTGTGCGCTTGTCTGAGTGCCAGCTTGGCCTCGGGCTCCAAATCAGGTGTGACGGTTAAAAGCTGTGCTGGTTAGTGGTCACCACACCTGGAGCGAGCGGCATGAGCCTCGTCTGTACGGAGGAAACGCTTCGGCCCTTTAGTGCTTCCACACCAGCGCTCTACACACGGCCAGATAAAGACCCCTTATTTAAAGCTGGGGCCCAAGAACACTGGGCCTCTATTCCACTCAAAGTCCATACACACACATGCAGCGACACACACAGTGAGCAGGTTGGATCAGGCTCAATTACACTCCACAGCTCGGCGTAATTACCTGTGACGCTCCACTCACGCTTTTACTTTGCATTCTGGCATTTTCATTTACATTTCCATCATTTACAGGGGCAAGTGAGGGGTCGCTTTACACACCAGCATATACTGTGTGTTACATTATGCAATTTTCTACAGCAAACACACAAGGTGCACACTGAAGTGGCAATACCAGTGGAGTAAAAGCCAATCTAAAATCACAGTACACTGAAGCCTAAAAAAATTACAGAAGATAACAAAATGGATGATTATTATTTACTTAAAGTGGACCTATTATGCTATATTTGAAAAATATATTGTAGGGCCATACCTATATAAAAACATGTCTGTGAAGTTTTTTTTTCAAAATACCAAACAGATCACCCATTGTATCCATGCCTCATACTGCTCAAACCCCTCTTTTGTAGCCCTGTTAGAGAAACGCAGATTTCAGGTTCTTAGCTTGAAAAAAAGAAAAGAAGAGGAGGCCGAGCTAATGCCTGATCAGAATTCTATAATATGAGATAAAGTTAAATTTGGTTGTGATAAAATGTTATCCTGTTTAAACCACGTCAAGGATTTTTTCTCAAACAGAATGGAGCTCAAGTGCTTTTTCTCTTGCAGGTTTATCACAAGGTGAGTTCTTTTTTTATCTCCTGCTTTTTAAACACATATGCTCTCCAGTACAGGTTAGCTCCGAGTGTTAGCGAGGCTTGCTAATGTAAACAAAGACGTCCAAAACACGTCAGGCATTGTTTCTGATTGCAACTTTCTGTGGGTCCGCCGCCGCTATGACGTCACAGCGGATGGAAATCTGTATCCGCTCGTTGTACACCCGTTTTTAAAAGATTTGCGTACAGAAGAAAAGAGAGAGGGTTTTATTTTCTGACGCTGTGTGAGTTCCCCGACGCACCGGGGACACATATTTATGTATAAAAGGCATCACAAAGTGCATTTTCCATGATCGGTCCCATTTAAGATATCTTGTATGATGAACATTGTGTCACAGGGAAGTTCGACTATGTCCTCAAAACTCCTTCCCAATTATTTTTCAGCTATCTCACTTTATTTATCTGTGGGAATTCAACTGATCATACTGATGATAATTAAAGATCATTTACACAAACATGGATATAAAACTGAAGATTATTTTTATTATAATTTTTTTTATTGTGGCAAAAGGTCAAACAGTGAAAAACAGTGAAGAAAATGTGATTAAAAATGTTGCATTAATATTTTTAATATAAATGAATCCATCCAGATCTGATGCCTGATACCAGGATTTATATTTGCGGTATATTGCAGACCTTGACATGAAGTTTACATTAAACTTCTCCAGCAATTGGGGTGTTTTTTTGGTGCATGCTTGAAATTCTGAAGATTTTGGGACTTGCTTTTGTGACATGAATGTTTGTCACTTTGCTTTGCTTTCTAAATGTGGATTAGAAGTTTTAAATAAAATCTAAATGTGCTAGGGAGTTCAGGACCGGTGCTCCCGGCGCAAATTGGCCCCTAAACCTGAAAAAGAAAGTACCTGCTTTCATGTTCAGTGGAAGAGAGGGGACACTCACACATATGACAGACATAATGTAACTCCAGCTCTCTAAGGTCCACCTTCAGCTCTTCCTCCTCCCCTCCTCTTCCTTCCTTACACATTTCTCCTCCTACTTTGTCAATGCTCATCTCCCTGGACCTCATAAAGTTCATTTTTGTACTACTTCAGCACCTTCCTCACAGACACCCCCGCTCTATCCTGCTGTCTGTGTGCAAGTCCCTGCATTCCTCCTGTTTTTCCAACACCACACACACTCTGCAATACACACAAAATCTGCGTATCAAAACCAGCTGAGAGGGGCAAGGTCCAGGACGCCTTGACAACTTAAATCAAACAAATTGCCTTAATGCCTCCATTCTCTGTCATTATGTAAGGCAGGGCCTGAGCGCTGACGGTTTAAAGGCCAGACATTTTTGCACGTGTGTGTGTGTGTGTGTGTGTGTGTGTGTGTGTGTGTGTGTGTGTGTGTGTGTGTGTGTGTGTGTGTGTGTGTGTGTGTGTGTGTGTGTGTGTGTGTGTGTTGTGAGAGTGTGTGTGTGTGTGT